TAGTGTATCATGTAATATTTAAAATCAAATATATAAATTTAATCTTTATAAAATCTGTGTGATAGCCTATTAATAGAAATACCTTTAGTTTTTCCTCTTACTTCAAAATAATAAACCTTTCACAAAAAATGAGTATTCATACTGAATGGGTAATCAATTATATAAGTATCTCTTCCATAATTGATATATCTGAAAGAGAAAAAGGTATACAATTTTTTAAAAATTGAGATGAACTGTTTAACAGTCTCATGTCTGGTTATTTTACATTTATTCAAGGTAGGGTCAGGTATTGCAGGGGCTCCAAATCTTTGTGTTTTTTGTTTTGTTTTTAATATTTGTCTTCAGTGTTTATTAAAATTAGGCAATTTTGAGAAACACCAAGCTACTACAAATGTAACTCCTCCAAGAAGACAGGGCCTTCTTTCTTTATGTCCCTTTAGTGAGGTACACAAAATATCAGTTGATTGTCATTACATAAACCTTAGAATAGCATATAGTGCAAGAACAGTATAAGATTACATGCCAAAAAATCAGCACATCTGAAAAACTATGAGAGTGTAAATATTTTATGGTCTTCTTAATTGTGGATTTGTTTCAATTATACCATTAAAATGTAGTTTTTCTTGATGGTGTAACATTTAATCATTTAATGATAAACTATGATAGTTTTATTTAAAAAGCATCTTGTCTTGAAATATATGAATAATTAAGTTAAATATTATTTAGATTTGGGCCCCACAGGACTTTGTGATATTGATATAAATTGATTTGAACTAATAAGTTAACTTATTTCCAGATAAGATAGTTGGTACAGAAAGCAGTTTTAACTATTTGAAATCAGATTACCAAAGTTAATCTCACAATCATAGTAAATCTCAATCCTTCACAACTGAAAGTTCTTTTTTATTAACATTTTCAAATGATTGGGTTCTAAAGAAAAATAATTACACTACTGATTATAATTTAACAGCTATTCTTATTCCATTGCTCACTTAAATTCTATTTTGGGGATATAAATTTTACAGGCATCTTAGATAACTGAACAGAAGAATTACCAAAAGAAAATTATTTGTCCCCTACTTTATTTTTCAATGCCAAAAAAGATTTGATATCTCTCTCCATCAAGCTCGAAGATGTAGATACACTGATGTAACCATGTGAGAAGGGTTAATGGCCACTTAGTGTCCCTGTCTTAATGTACCTGTGATTTTCTTCCTCTAGGGACATCAAAGATATTATTTACATGTATATAAAATACACCTGGGAAACATTTTAAAGCATTTAAATAACAGGTTCATACAAATTCTACAGCAGCTTCCTCAACTCATCACTATCTGCACTCACTAGCAGCTACTGTTTATGGGCTACTATTTTAGGCCCTAGGGGTAAAAGAGCCTACAAAATCTCCACCCTCATGGGCTTATGATTTAGTTGAAGAGGAAATAAGAAATCTCAGAAAAGATAAATGAAATATATAATATTCTTAGAAGTGCAGCTCTAATTATATACCATGAGCTCTCTAGGAGCCTCTTTAAGATGTTGGGCTCTGGAACAAACACACTGAACAAACGTAAACTCAAATGTGTAATCTAAAGCATATCAACTCAACAGAGCACGATCTTGGTTGACTGTTCTGCAACCAAGCTACTGACCTGTGGGCATGCGTCAAACACATTGCTACAAGCTACCCAGGTGTGGAGAAATTTGTTATGCAGTGTTGTTGGGGCAATGATTGACTAACACACTTGTTTCCAGGATACATCACTCTCCTAACTTTGCAGCAATCTCAGATAGTTGTTTATTGGTTCCTCCACATTTTTCTGACCACACAACCCTGGAATCTCCCAGGACTCATTTAAATCTCTATTCTCACTTTTGGTGCTCTGAGCCATTCTCATGCCTTTAAATATCTGGAAGGTGACTACTCAAATTTTTATCACCAGCACAACACTTGCTTGAACTTCAGTCTGGTATATGACTTGAATATGTTATCTAAGGGTATTTCACATGAATCAGTCCCCCTAACGACTCACTACCCCTACCCAACTTTCTTCTCTCATAATCTTTCTCTTCTTGCTACATGGCAAATTTCTCCTTCCAACTGCTCAAGGCAAACTTCCTAGATTCATTCTCTCACACACCCTACAACTGATTCTTGGTAAATCCTGTTAATATTATCTGGGGACATAATTTTTTTAAAGATTTATTTACTTATGCATACAGGCTAGAGGTGCAGGTGTGGTGAGAGGAGTCACCAGAGACAGAGTGGGGAGCAGAACAGGCAGATCGACAAAGTACACTGCTGAGTGGGGCAGCAGGTGGATCAGGAGAGGTCTGCTGCGCCATGTGGGTCACCTCCGGGGTGGAGATAGAACTCATGCTGAAGTGGTTTTAGCTTCTTAGT